GGCTGCGTCAGAAAGCTACATCGCCCGCCATCACACACCTCTCAAGAGTCCAATATAGCCCTCTCTACAAAATTTTCAGCACAGCCTCCAGTCTAGACTACTATCATTGGCGCCCTTTCCAGGTCCCGTATGCCTCTATGGTTCTCTCACTGATTCGTCAGGAAGGTCTACCCATCTCGCACCTATACCGGCAAAAACACGCACCTCTGAGCCCCGTAAACATCCAACCTACAATTCGTCTTGACGACTTTCCAAATGCTTTCAGCCAACATCTGGCAGCCTTGAATGCCCTTTTAAATTATTTACATTCTACCAACTGGCGGGGTTGGACCCTCATTGGGGCAGATGCTCAAAATTACACTTATGGACGGCCTCCGGAGTGGTTCTTCCAGTTCATACGGTCAAGTAAACTTGGTCGCTTCACACGAGCTGCAGTGTCTTCGGAGCGGAGGCTCTCGGCATCCAACGGGCAGTTAATCTCAGCGCCCGTCTTAACACTCAGACGGCCATCGTCTCGGATGGCAAATCAGTTCTCCAGGCAGTCGCCAACGTAAATTTTTTCTCTGCAGCGGTTATTATTGACCTAGCTGCAACTATCAGCTCTCACCCAACACCCCTTGAAATCGGGTGGACCCCCAGTCACGTTGGCATCCACATAAATGAAAAGGCAGACCAAGCCGCTAGCCGCGACACTCCCATCGGCTCCTGGTGGAGACCTCTCATGGCACGTGACCTCATACGCCAGATGCGAAAATCGATCATCCGCAACTACACCGATACCTAGTCTACCATTCTTCGGGAAAAAAATCGCGACCATCTCCGACCTTTCGTACCTTGCATATACCATCACGCCTCGTCTCGCCACACAGAAACTCTATTGGCTAGACTTCGAACAGATACGGCCCCCCTGAACAACTTCCTCTATTCTCGATGCCAATGCGCTTCGCCAGATTGCCGCTACTGTGGCTCGCCAGAAACTTCCGTACACTATTGGCTTGTCTGCCAGCAATACACACGGGCCCGCCAAGAGCTAGNCACCTCTTCACGCCTTTATCCAAGGCGTCCCCCAGGAGAGCGTTCTTGCCCCCATTCTATTTACATTATACATCGCTGATCTTTGGACCGCTCTTCCCCCCAATGTCACTGCCGTCCTTTACGCGGACGATTTATACATTCTCACTTCGAGTACAAGGCCTTCTCAAGCAGCTCGCAAAGCTCAATTAGCCCTGGACCACCTAGAACACTGGGCAAGCACATGGAGTTTATCCTTTTCCGCCACTAAAAGCGCTTCCGTCGATTTTTCTGCCAAACTCCACTGCCCTCCACTTACTTTGTCACTTAACTCAGGTAATATCCCTCAGCGCCCTTCTCTCCGCATCCTCGGTCTTCATTTTTCGCATAACTTCACTTGGCACGCCCACGAAACTTTCTTAAGAACCAAAGTGACTCGTGCCGGTTCCCTCCTCAAATTTTTTGCTTCTCGTAGTAACGGTACCAGGAGAGCCGACCTCCTCCGCTTAATTTATACCGTCCTTAGCCCGATAGCAGAATTTGGCGCTCCTCTCCTGGAAGGGGCCCCCAACCACTATCCGCCGCATCGAAAAACCCATTCACGAAGCCCTTCGCACAGCCTTGGGTGTGCTCAAGTCTACTTCGCTCTTATCTTTATATGCCGAGTCCGGCTATATTTCACTCCAGTCTAGGCTGCGTCAGAAAGCAATATCGCACGCCATCACTCACCTCTCAAGAGGCCACTATAGCCCTCTCTACAAAATTTTCAGCACAGCTTCCAGTCTAGACTACTATCATTGGCGCCCTTTCCAGGTCCCGTATGCCTCTAGGGTTCTCTCACTGATTCGTCAGGAAGGTCTACCCATCTCTCACCTATACAGGCAAAAACACGTACCCCCGAGCCCCGCAAACATCCAACCTAGAATTCGTCTTGACGACTTTCCAAATGCTTCCAGCCAACCTCCGGCAGCCTTGAATGCCCTTTTTAATTATTTACATTCTACCAACTGGCGGGGTTGGACCCTNTCTCACCTATACAGGCAAAAACACGTACCCCCGAGCCCCGCAAACATCCAACCTAGAATTCGTCTTGACGACTTTCCAAATGCTTCCAGCCAACCTCCGGCAGCCTTGAATGCCCTTTTTAATTATTTACATTCTACCAACTGGCGGGGTTGGACCCTCATTGGGTCAGATGCCTCAAAAATCACACCTACGGACGGCCTCCGGAGTGGTTCTTCCGGCTCATACGGTCAAGGAAACTTGGTCGCTTCACACGAGCTGCAGTGTCTTCGGAGCGGAGGCTCTCGGCATCCAACGGGCAGTTAATCTCAGCGCCCGTCTTAACACTCCGACGGCCATCATCTCGGATGGCAAATCAGTTCTCCAGGCATTCGCCAACGTAAATTTTTCCTCTCCAGCGGTTATTATTGACCTAGCTGCAACTATCAGCTCTCACCCAACATCCCTTGAAATCGGGTGGACCCCTGGTCACGTTGGCATCCACATAAATGAAGAGGCAGACCAAGCCGCTAGCCNAGTTTCGATTGTGATACATCAGTGGATTCGGCGTAAGGAGTAGATTCGAAAGATATCTTAGCCGAGAAGATTGGCCCACCCAATTTTCGGTGGTAGACGTCCGAACTTTGGAACTTTTGGATTCGATTTTCCAGACGGGACTACCCGGTTAACCGGATTTTGATATATAGTGACAAGGAACGACAAGCCTTGAGTAATGTAGTTAATTTTGGTAATCGTAGGACCAGTTTTTCCGGTTTTATTCAACCTTTTGTGTTTCGGGATTTTCGGCCCGCATCGGGTTTGGTGTTTTTTATCTGCCAAAAATAACTTAATTCTCCGAGGAAGGACCACTGGATACACAACCTCCANTTTGATTAGCAAACTGGAAAAACAATTTAAAATAAAAACTGGGTCGGGTTTCTAGTACGGTTTGTTATTAACTTAATGTATACAGTATATAGAATTAGTCGAGGAAATTTAAATACATCAGAGATAATTATGTGAATTCTTTGTAATATTACCACTACACTTTTACATCATTGATGAGGATGCAGTTGCATTTTAAAAACTGTCTTTCTTTTAATATGAATAGGTTATATACTTTTATGAAGGAGTAACATTCTATCCTCTTCGATAGTAGACTTGTTATATAAATGACAACTCGACAAACCTGATTTTTGATTAAAGTTGGAAGATCTGTCGAATTAACTTAGCCTCTGATAATTTGGCAGATTGCCTGGTGTAGATTTATTATTAATAATTGTATTTGGAGTTTGTCGGAGCCTACCTAGCTTGTCGTCGGTGAAAGCATGCTTCCTAAACACTGCAAAATTGACCACTGTCCTTCTCTGGAGAATGTATTTTGGGGCGTTTGCATCCTTTAAAGACTGGCACGAGAGAGTCAAAAGTGTGCAGTTGTTAAAAGGAATAAACTAATGAAACTTGTCTAGTCACATCTCTGGTGTACTTGATTCAAAATTGTTCTTACAATCGGTTATTTTTATAACTCGAGAATGATACTAGTCTGGATATGAAATTAATGTGACAAATATTATCTTTAAACGTGAATTTATTGTACGGGTGGTACTCTTATGTTTTTACAAGGTGCTACCCGAATAATATAGAAATTAATTAATTAATTAAGCAGAAGTATTTGTCCGATATAATAATCTTTTAACCGATTATGAGCTGGATAACTACCAAATTTTATTGGCCTTATTCCATCTTTGCATGACTAAAGTTACGTAATCTGTTATGTTTGAGTCAAAAATAAAATAATTACGAAAGTAGAATTTTTATAATTTAATAATTATAAGAAATCAATCAAATTATTAGAAGTCACTTATAAATTTAAACTGTGTCAATAAATTATCATTTGAAAGTTTGTCATTTATTTCTTTCTCTTTATTAGAGCCAATGCTAGACACATCTGGCAGTTAGATTGTTAAATATGTTAATGTTATAAAGGTAGTGTTACGGCACCCTCTGAATAAGCATTGGATATTTTTCTGTATTAACTGTACGGACTGTACTGTCGTACGTATTTACTATTGAGTCTGTACGGTCACTTTTGGCCGAATCAAACTGTTCCGAGCAACGTATTAAGTCAAAGTGCTTTAATGTGTATCTAATGATTAACATAGCCAAAAAAATAGACTGATAATTTGGTGGATCGTTTGGTGCTAATGCACTTGTTTTAGTTTCATCATAATTATGGAAATAACATTTCTTTTTTTTTGTGCTGTGTAGTAGAATTTAATATAACACTTTTAGAATTTTAGAAAATTATTTTCGGTTAAAGTATGAGTTATATGTCTTTATTGTATGTTCGTAAAATTTTTGGCACTATTATAACATTACTAAGCACACTTTTTAAAAATTTCAGCTAACAATTATCAAGAAGAAGCCTGCCAGAATGTATTCAGGCAGATGGAGCGATGCTGTAACAAGTGGAAGGACCAGTCTGCGACGTGTTCGGGTTTCAAGTACAGAAAAGTAACCGGGGATCCCGCTCCGGTCGGGCACGTGAAGCACGCGGTGGCGACATAGTGCCGGACGCCGTTCCGTAAACTAAGTACGTGATGTATGTATATTTACCGCGCAAGTTTATTTAGTTTGTAAAATCGTAAAAATTTAATATTGTGTGATTGTTTTCTATTAGCTACAAGAAAGCAAACAGAAAGAAAATGTGTGAAAATTGTTTTTTACATTTATATATTGTATAAAATTTATTTATAATTGTTATTGGACTTTTAAAATTTGTTTTGAAAGCTTTTTGACTATTTATTAAAATAGATTACAAAATTTCATAAGGCTATAAGCTTTTTTTTTTTAATAGAATTTTCCAGAACATTTTACTATGATATTTCGCCGTGTTAAAATAAGATGTGTTGATCTTTGCAGAAAATAATAATTGTAAATTCTGTTGTAGTAAAATTTTGGACAAACATTTTTCAAACGTACTCCTGAAGATTTTACCGAAGCTTTATTGTAGTATATAAATATATTTACTAATTGTATCGAAATAACAAAATAATAATAATGCAACAATATACTTGGTGTAAACAGCTAAGAGAGTCATTTTAACAAAACTACAATGTACATAACTTTTGTATACTTCTAGAAAAATTCTTATCAGCATAGAAGACATAACTGACTATAATTTATCAGCAAAAAAAAAAAAAATATTGTTTTTTCCTTTGTTTAAATATGCACATAGTTTAGAAAAATATTTCTCTCGTAAAAAAAAGAGCTCTTTCGTCATAAAATCGTCGACACGAAATTTTGTGTTTGACACATTTATACATTTTATGGCAAAGCGATTCCTGCAGTCTTCAATGACACGAAATACATCTCACTTAATCTAACGATTATAAGGCATAAATATTCTTATAATAAATACCGTAACGTAGTGAAGCTGGAATAATCCAGCAAAGTCGAATTTATCAAATTTTCTTCTTAAACTCTCCAGAATTGATTTTGAGTGTGCTCCATTTCGTCTCTATGCGAACTTATTAAAGTGTCCTGAAATAGAAAAAAAAAAATAATACGTATTGTTAGAAAATGTAACTTATAGAGATTAAAAAAAATTTTTTTTTTAAGGTGATAAAACAAACAATCGAAAATTCGGTCAATCATTTTTCCATGCACTTGCATCAAACAGGAAATTAAAAATAAAATTATTTTAAACTAGCTCTGACACAATTATAATTGCAAAATAAAACTTGTCATGCAAATTAGTTTACAGGACAAAAAAATAAAATAAAATGTATAGGTAATGCCTGTTACTCCTATATGTTACACGTTAACTTATTATGAGTAACGCATTGTTTAAAAAATAGCTTTTGCACAATTAAACATTGCAATGAACAGAGGAAAGTCAAAAGTTTCCTCCCATTATTAGGTAATTTAATTTGAAGTTATTCAGCCGTAAACTTAATCAAACGTAACCGACCAGCAATAGGTAAAAAATTCAAACATGCATGATTAATGCCATTCAAAATATTCTCCTCTCTCCTAATAAATTTTATGTAGCTAGTTATCTAGTAATCAAAACTGCCAAAATTTACCTGCATAGTTTATTTTACGATCAGAAATTTAATAGTTTGGAAGAGATTTCGACGGTCGTCGGTGTGACCGATAGAAAAAACGGAAGAAGTCCGACGATTCCGATCACATGCACCTCTTCACGACCGTCACGTTGAAAATTTGATGCACCGTCGGTTTGAATCTCGAAAATGCATTTATAAACCTCTTCCATTTGCAGCAAAATATCTGAAATGCACAACGGCTTCTGTAACGACTTACCGATTTTTCAAACAATAAAATTAGGCCAGCCGTGCACGATCTTATTCTAATAATTCAGCATTTTTAAAGTTGGTATACAGTGATAAAATTTTCAAAGCCATCAACAATTTTATACAACCGAGTTTGTTTGTTGTTAAGTTTTTAAATAATTCTTCCTAAATATAATATAATGTACTGCTATTGTAATTATTAGTCATAGCAAATATGAAAAATAATTGCTGTATTATTGACAATTTTGCACTACATTGCATATGTATAATATTTTGCATAGAATTATTCGATTTAATAAATGTTTCAGAGTAATTCTGTGTTGATTTTTTAAAAAATATTCCAAGTCAATTAGAGTATACGTACATTTAAAACTGCATAGTAAATATGGATTTATCTGACTGATCGATTTATTTCATTTCTGGAGTTTAGAATTAGCAGTATTTACATGACACGGCAATAGCGAATTTGACTTAACACTCAAAAAAATGATAGCTTTTCTCAGACTAACCTTTTTTTTTTCAATTTCCAACTATCGACAAACTACTTTGTGTTGCCAATCCTGCTCCGTTTCCATCTGATGGTGTAATTTTTACTTTTTTTAATATGAAACTCAACAAGTACATGTTTTGCAAATCACTGTACAACACAAATATTCTGTAGTCTACATGAAGTATAGTATACATACACATTAATGCTATGATGTTAAAATTTTTTTTTAAATTCATAAAAATTTGATTCAACTAGAAGTACTTGAGATTTTTAAGAGAATTTACAAAAAATTAAAAGTGACAAATTTCCCAAGTCAATTAACTGTCTTGTATGAGATAGACAGACAAAAAACTGGAGTGACAAAATACTTTTTTTTTATTTTCATAACAGACATTTTCTTAGTAATGTATATTGTAATGTATTACAATAAACGAGTCAATCAATAAAATGGTTATCAACTAGAAAAACAGAAAACTCCAATTTCTATTTTTCTAGTTAGTTCCTAAGGGCAGATCTCTGTTAAGAGTTTTTGAAAACTTTTTGTTCCAGAAAAAGCAATTTAAGTTGAATTTTACATTTCAAGAGCTTCTTAATACACGTGACATTGTTTTTTATCCTTATAAGAGTTAACTTAACTTAAAAGTATGAAATACATAATGTTAGTTCAATCTTTAGAATAAGGAATTAACTAACACATTAACAAACACAGTTTACTGAGTTTACTGTTTCAATCAATCTTATAAGACCTTTCTTAAATATGTGAATTCTAAAAAAATTTGTATCAATTACTCGATTTTAAAATATCAGAATAAAAATTTAAATAAATTTCTATAATAATATTTAGAGCAATAAAAGAGCAAAAGTTTATAGCCATTAACATTATAATTATTGAATCATATAGCTTAATGGTCAAGACCGATAAGCTTTTCAAAATCATATCTGATGAGTAATTAATCTTATATTGCCATTGACAGAAGTGATTTCCATACCAAATGTAGAATATATAAGTGGTAAATAAAGAAACTGTTGTTAATGTTACTGTTAATTTTACTAAGAAAGTTGTACATAGACTCTATAACAAGACACTCCAATCTCCAGCCCACAGGCCAAATATGGTCCCTGAAGCACATTAATCTGACCCCATAGCTTGTTTTCACTGATATGTTTTATAAACTTTTGACTGTTGTTAATTAATATAAAAACTTATTTAAAAAGGGGAGTTTGTTAAATTTTTATAAATCTCAGCCAGAAGAGAATTTTAAAAGTTTTAAGAAGTTTGTATGGGGATATTTTCTATTTTATGTACCTTTGAAAACAAACCTTTTCGAAAATCAAAATACTGAACATCACAGTCCAACAGACACAAAGATTTTAACATTGGGTGCCAAAAAATGTATTCAAAATTTAGATGACTATCTTGTGAAAAAGCAGTTACAAATTTCATATTGATTTATGTCTGTGGTTATTCAGAAAGAGTCAAATATTAAGATTGTTTTTTTATCTTTCGTACCTGGCCCCCAGACTTATCTTTTACAGCTCACATGGCCCTTCTCAGAAGGTTTGGGAAACCTCTGCTCTATAATATACAACAGTAGATTTGGAAAATTTATTGCTTAGTTCTTATTACTGTATAGAATTAACATAGGGAATTAGAGAATTAAGCTAAAATTGACAATTGGCTTTTAAATAGTTCTGTCTGAGAGTCATTATGTAGAAAGGGGGATTATTGGAAATTAGTAGCTTTTAATCTACAAGTTTAAGTGTCTGATAATATCGATTGAAACATGGGATTGATATATAGAAAAGAGATAGTTAAAGACAAGATACAGATATACACATCTTTGATGATTTCTGGAAAAATTGCGATGTCAGATGAATATGTAGTGTACAAGATTTTTAAAGATGCTCTTATTAAGTTTATACAAAGGAAAAGCTGTTGGGTGTGCTCATAATTGCAATCTAAGTTCAGAAAATAACCTGTAGTAGCACACTAATGTTCAAATTTTTTTTAAAACACCAATAACTCAGATATTCACAGGAAATTGTATGTGACAGAAATCTCTTTAAATTTATAATAATAAATATGATGGACTTTTCTCTATGATTGATTTGGCATGTGTTCAAATCAAATCATCTTTATGAAGGTTTTTCTGTAATAAAATATGGTTCAAATAAAATAAATATTCACTTAGAATTTCCATAACTAAAACTTTGACAGTAAGCAAGCCAATTAATGACATAAATACAAGTGTTTCAAATACAAAATTATTGCATCTGCATATTGTAGATTAAAATGATGATAAATACAGATTTTTCAATAATAAACATTTTGATTAAAAAATACATAAATTAATTGCTGGTAGAGCCACTTTTTTTTTATTAGTTTAAATTTTTATCATGTTTGAATATTTGTTTTGTATTAAACACGTATAACTAATATTTCCAATGCAAAAAGCCTATTTTTTAGAGAAGGAAATAGTTTACTTAGCTTATGACAAACATTTGAGCTTCTGAAATCTTAGAATTATAAAAGCACAATGTATTACTTACTGGGTTCATATATTTTCACAATACAATGGGGTTTCTGGAATGACTTTACATATAATGGACTCTGCCTTACAAGAAGTTTAACAGGAACATTGCAGTTTAAATATTTATGATAATGTTTATCACTTCATTTATTTAAATGTTTTAAATCAATAATTTCTAAAGCTACATATGTATAAATAAAATCTTTTTCAAGAACCAATGTCAAATGTAAAAACTTGCAAAGCAAATTTACCAAACTTACTTTGTTCCTAGAAAACCACTGCTAAATAAACTGCCCTATTTTCCATAAGTTAGTACCATAAACTGAGATTGTTTTCATGGAACCTTTTAAACTATATCGCACTGAAAAAGTCCAACAAAAAAAAAAAAGGCATTTCACAAAGTCGTCGTAAAAATTTACATCATCTGTTGAAGAGGAGAATGTAAAGCAGGATCTATTGTATCATTAATTTTATTTTGGAATACAGGTATCTCTCATATAATATGGTAGATACATTCCGAAAAAGTGCTGTGCTATGCAAATCCATGCTAAACAAAACATAGGGTTGCATTCCAGAAGTTAGCAAAAGTATACTATTCTTTTTCGTTACTACAAGAAATATGTTTATTAAAGCAATTGATAATTTATTTCTAATCAATAATTAATTAACAATAGCAATTAAAAATACTGCATGATGTACTAATAATTTTAGTTGAACGAGACATTACAAAGTATTATCATCATCTCAGCTTTTCTATTGATCTTAATCAGAAGTATTAGCAACATTTTCATATTTTTATCATAAAAAATTTTTTATGGATGACAAAATAAAAATATATTATTAATCGAAAATTTGTTCTAGAGGGTCACGTTTGTTCAATTGAGTACTGAGCGACCTTTTTCCAGAATCTGTGTTTGAATACAAAATTGTTCAAGTACCAAGATACCGTCATATTTCATTTGTCATTTTACAAATGATTGCTTATCTACAGTTAAAAAAAGTTTAATAACACTCACCTTAAAATGTTTAAATAAACTTTGCTAAATATGGAGATTAATCTATGAAAAGAAAACACAGTGACAGTACTAAGGGCTAAAATCTGAAAGCAGCAATGACACCTGGTTGATAGGAAAGTTTAGGACAAGGAAGAAAAAAATTGCACTATCAGTTTCATTAAAGTAAACCTGATGAAAATAATTTGAAAATTTCAATATTTTAAAATCCATGGGCAAGTTTGAAACAACATGCATGCTTACTTGAATAAAAGAAAAAAAAACATTCAATAATGAGGTTTACACTTAAAAATTGTGAAATTTTGTATGGAGGCTTTCCAACACAGTGTTAGAATAGAACCAGAAGTTACGTTATACGGGGGATATCCCCAATTTTCAAACCATGTTGTATGAGGATACCTGTATTTTCTAAATCAGCAAATTTTGGTATAGATAATTTAACAGCCACTTGGCACTAACTTCTACACTTAGCTATTCATGGTGGCACTCAATTAGTGGTGTTCGCTACACTCAGGTTTTCTTTTAGACCCTTCGGGGGACTACCGCATTGCAGCCTAAAAACTGCATGCCAACATCAAACAAAGAGGGTACAGTAGCCATATATACACCATTCAGAGGAATTCTATCTTTCTCTACTGTCTATCTCCTCTCCCTCCTTCTTCCCCCCTTTCCCTTATCCTCTTTTCCACTGGCTAAACATCTTGCGTATGGCCAATGTCTTTCATGTATGTATGTATGTACGTATGCATGTATCATTTAATGCGTATAATAATCTGTAATTTAAAAAGTGTTAATGATTTGTTTTTAGAAATCAGATTACAGTAAAATATGTACTTGACAAGTTTTATCTGCATTTGCAATTTTTTTTTAATTAATAAAATTTATTTTTGAACTTAAAAAAGCCAGGTGGTTCAAAAATAAATTTATGATTTCAAATAATTATCTAAATTTTAAAACCCAATTTTACAAAATTATATTAAAGTTTGTGTAAAAAAGTTTTCAGAATACATACCTTATTAAATAATCTGGAGTCCAGCTCCTTCAACTGTTCATCAAGTTTTTTCTTGGACATTAACAGAGGTTCATTTACAATTAAAGATGAAGATGGACTATTTGATTTATTTGATGATGAACTTCCCATTGGAGATATTCCTGATAATCAAAATTAACAAGTAAATTTACAGCAACATCATTAATTTGTATCAATTATATCTAGAAAATATTTTAAAATTTCAATATAAAAAAAAACTGAAAATTTACATTAAAAGTATTTTAAATTTCGTTTAATAATATTCATATTTCTATGCAGAACATAATATATCACCATACACACATAAAGTGAATCATGTCTTTCACTTTATGGATAGGATGACCAGCCCTGGATGACAAGTACTCAAGTTACAAGCTCTCAACACCCCTCAATAATTTCCCTGGGTCATCTAAAATCCATTGTATATCAGAACCAACCAAAAAACATTGTAGAACTTAAGAAAATATTGTCAGAATCACCATGAAAGAGACTCTATGTAAATGGTACCTTGGATTGACACATCAAGAAATCAATACAAAGAATTCAAAAATGTTTTGGGTTATTTTGAACATCAGTTAAAATAAAATATAATAATTTATTTTATGGTGTGCAATTTTAGATGCACCCTGTATACATATTTTTTTCATTTATAAGCTGAATAAAATACAATATAAATGTTCTTGGTCACAGTCAGCATACAATATTTTTATCAAATTTCTGTGAATAGCACATATATTTTCAAAGTCTAATAAATATAAATTCTTTAAATTATAAATTTACCATAAAATATAAAATGATATTTACTTAATTCATCTCTAATGCAGTCTTTACTACCAGTACGATGATGGACAGAACTCGATGTAGTTGAAGATCCCGAGGCAAGTGAGGTCGTTCCCGTCGTAGTTGTACTATGACTGGTACTGGTGGTCAAACCCATGGTGCTTGCAGCTCTAATGTGATGACGAGGCGGTCGACCGAGCACCGCATTCTGAAGGACGGCGTCTTTCTCTTGAGAATGTTGTTGGAGTACCTTAATCATTGCATCGCGTTCTGCTAATTTTGATTCCAGATCTCTTACTCTAGTATATAAAAGATTAATTTGATAGAATGAATAATTATTTAAACGACTTCTTATAATACATGAAAAATAATTTAAAATTAAATAAATTAAAATAACTTTTTGAACATAAATTATATTCAATAATATTCTAGATCAGGGATCAGCAAACATTTACAGGCCAAATTACAGTTTTATTTTGAAGAAACAGACCATAAATATTTATAAAAATTTACTTGAATTGTAAAAAGATATTCAGATTGGGGTTAAATACTTTCTAATAAAGAGAATTTGGAAAGTTCTCATCACATGCTGAATAAACAACATATGACAAAATAACATCCAACGCTGTAAATATGGCATTACCAAACAGAATGAATAGGTAACTTATTTGTCAAAATAAATGTAAATATTCAAAATACTTAAACATGTTTTCTTCTTATAATGGAAATTTCATAAGAAATTGTATAATTATATTTGTAGGATTAATATAGATGTTTCCATGTGCCAGCAGAAAAATAAAATAAAAGTAATGGTTAGAAGCTGCAAAATATCTATTCAAGGGCTGCACGAGGCCAGCAAGTTGTAGTTTGCTAATCCTCATTCTAAATTACCGCATAGTAAACAATGTAACAAAAGAAAAATATTAAAATACAAAATTTTTCAGTCATGATATAACATTCACTAATTAATTATTTAACTTTAAATCAGTTACATTTAACATATAAAATATTAATCAAAGATAGAAATACACAAATCAACTATAATTCTACAATGTTTTATGAATATACTAATCTCTTATCAGACATATTATATTTGCATAATTATTATAAGGCTATACGAACCTTCCTTCTAATTCGGCACACTTTCTTTGAGCTGCATATAACTCATCCATGTGTTTCAACTTTTCAGATCTAGCTTGTGCTATTAATTTTTCACTTTCTTGTGATGTTTTCTCAAGTGCTGCTATTTTGGCATCCCTAAAAATATCCAGAAAATTAATATTTTCATAATGTAATTTCATTTATCCTAAATTTACTATCGATAGATCATCCTTTCAAATTGTACATATTAGAATTTCTAGTCATAAAGACAGAATGCATTCAATGACAATTTGATTTTTCTTTGGTCATCAAACCATGAAATAATCCATATAGTCAGTTATATTTTGTCTCGACATTTCAAATTATAATCACTACATAATAGAAAATTTTGATATAATTCTTAAAAATTTCTGAGTTTAATATAAAACTAAGCAGAGAAGATTTACATTTCAAATATAAATATCTAATAACCCAATTCTCGATTAATACCAAATAATCTGCTGGATTACATCAGATTATATTAGGGGGTTACGTTTTAATAATTAAATATTGAGTGATTTTAACTTGAGGTAAGAAATTAAATCGCCATCGCATGATAAATTTAATAATTATAAATAAATTAATATTTAACATTTAATTTAGAAGGTTCTAGAAGAATCAGCTTGAAGCCTTTGTGTATTCAATCTTATTTATATTTTTTTTGCAATTTCCATTTATATGTTTTATTATGTTGGTTGATTTTCTTGTTATGTATTTTATCTTTTTTGTTATGGGTCTTGTTATTTATTAGGAAAGGAGATCTGCTGTCCGGCAACATTTCCTAATGTAGATGAATAAAAAAATTAAATGTTTAAGCCCAATAAGGCATCTACAGGGTTATATAATAAAGTAAGCATATTGGTCAGTCTGAATGTTTGTAAAATGATTTAAAGCAAAAAAATGTATATTAAAAATAAAATCATCTTCCTTTATTTTAAGTAGCATCTTCCTCCTCCTACATCTGTCCCTGCTATAAAAACAGTTTACAGATTTATAAAGAAAGAAAAAATTTTTTCAATTATATATTAATCTGTTGCAACTTAGATAAGCAGTTTTGCTTTTTCTGTGTTTAATTTTAGAGTATTGATTCTGAAAATAAAAAGAAATAATCTTGAAAATCTAGTTTTTGACTATTACAGAAAAAGGCTGTGCTATTTTTTGTTTAGAAAGAAATTGTGATAATTTTTATTTTCATAATGTTGTTAAATATGATCAAAGATAATGTACCACTTTGTAAATGCTTCAATGGTTATAATCAAATGATAGTCCTTGTTTGTCAAAATATTTGAAAATTATGTTTGTATTTATCGTATCTTATAGGATACAATTGTTAGGAAGAATACATTTAGCTCAAAAATATACGATGCTGTGCTTATTTGGAGAATTAAATTAACTATTAGATCATATAAGAAAATATGACTAAATAAATTGCTGTTCTTAATTTTCCTAAATAATAATTAACAATATATTTTAAACAAAATTAAAGCTTAAAATTTCATCTACAAACAGAATATAAATAATTTTCTTGCAACTAAAGAATAATATAAAATTATATTTAATGCTTAGTTCAGTTCATGATCATAAACTGAATTAGTTCACAATTAGTTCATGAAATGATCAAATGATAATTCTAAGAATATAACATTTTCATTTTTCAAATTTTATGAGAGAATAGAAAAATTACTTCTAGAATTTTTAAGTTAAAGACATTTTAAAATTTAACGGATTTCAACTTACTTTGGCACTGAGGCTGCATCTACTGCAATTTGGCGCATTGTACTTTCTTCCAAGTAACACTGTTCCCACTGAAATAAATATTTAAACAAAAAATTTCATTATATTTAATAATTTCATTTTTTTTTCAAATATTCTATAAAAATCATTCTCCAAAACCTTTGTCACTTCAGATTCTAAAAATACAATTTTCTCTTCATATTCTCTTATTGTTTTTCTTAATTCCTCTTCAGTTTGCAAATTCTTATTTCTGTCAGAACATGGCATTCCTTTCTGCAAAAAGCCAATAGATAAAAATTCAAACAATTATCATTTACTAAACTTATATAAAAAATAACATTTATGAAATTGATGATGCGACAATACCTTTTCTATTTTTAAATCTTCTATTTCCTTTTCGAGTTCTGATCTAATTTTCTTTTCCATCATTACTCTTTTCTCACTTGTCTGCTGGACATTTACTAATGCTTTTTGAAGCTGAGCAGCATGATCTATGTAAGACTGCTTCTTACGACACTATCGAGTTAATCAATTAAAATTCATCATATAAATATCCCAATATTAGAGATTTTAAAATAATTCTTTTATACTTGTATACTAATTTTCAGTATTTGTATTAATATTCTAAATACTGTGATAATAGTTTGCCACAATATTCTAATTTAAAGATCATGTTTCTTAAAAGAATTATCCAGCAATAAATGTATTAATAACAAATATTATAGATTGCCAAATATAGTTAATTTCCTTAATTTAATTGAATTTAACTATAGAAAATAGTTATTATTATGCTGACACACAAAACTGTTGGTATGCTTTCTTCAGTAAAATTCCTTATTATAAAAATTGTACATTTAAAAACAATTTTAATAAGGATCTTTACAGACACAAACACACTTTAGTTGCCATTCTTTAACTTATATTATTTATAAACAAAAAAACTTACATCTTCTTCCAATTTTACTACATTCAGCTGAGCATTGGTGAGAGCACTGTCCAAAATGTCAATATGATTTCTTTGTTCTTGTAATGTTACTCTTTGTGCTTGGAGTTCAATTTCTTGTCTTTCTTTTTCAGCTAATAATTCTTTATCTATAATTGTTAAACAATGCAAATAAAATATTTAATAAAATCATTAGCTGTATTTATTATTATAAAAAAAGATTATATAATATNTAGTAATTTATTTAAAAGTTATCTTCAGAAATATATTAATTGCAGTTATCACATTACACATTATGCTTAAAATATTTGAATTCAAATCAAAAAACTGAATACAGTTTCTTTAATTTTCTCTCTTAAAAGTGTCTAACAGAGTAATTTCAATTTTTATTTAATTTCTTAGCTGAAAAAAATTTTCATAATTAAGAAGCTGACATTTTAATATTACGCAAAATTTTTAAACAACTTCTAGGGAAATTACTTCCTATCTAATTATTAACTTAGTCTTATTATAGCCCGATAATTCGGCAGATTGTTTGGTTCTAATTTTTAAACAACTCCAATTATAAAGCTGAAATTAACTAAAAAGAATACGGTCAAAATTTATTAAATTAACTTACTTTTTCTAATTTGGCAACCTTTCGATAATACATGTCCAATTCATTTTTCAGAGAAGCATTTTCAGTAGATAGCAATTGGATAATATGATTTGTTTCATTATCTCCCTCTATTGCAGGTCTTCCATGAGTTTTTGGTCTAATAAAAATAATTTAAATGATTGGTTTAAATTTACTAATTCAATTAAAACAACAATTATATTACATGGGCACTAACCTTTTACTTAATTCAGAAATTCTGACACCTTTTCCTTCGGATTTAGCATTATTGTAATCGATATTCGTAAGATCCGGATGAGAATGCGATATTATCAATCCGTCCGCTTTTATTATATCTGCTTCTTCGGAAATTTTTCTAACATTGTGCAGTTGATTTAACTTGTTTTCGGTATATTTCTGGAAATCTGTCATTTGAAATTTGGTGGAGTCTAGAGACGAAGTTTTCGACGAATCCCCAGGAGATTGATGGTGATGTACTTCTTTGGCTAAATGCTTTAGTACCTCCGACTGGTCTAGGTAATGTTTTGGTATATCAGTTATTTCTTGTACCGAATGTTCTGGAAATTCAAATTTTGTATCCATAAAAATATTTTTTGATTGTGACGAAACATTAGAACTAGAGTTCTCATTTGGTGAATTTGAAATTCCAGTACTTAAATAGCTAGTTAAGTGAGATCTTCTAGGTATACTTTTTGGTGACGAAGGCACACTATTTCCTTTAGTTGAGTTATTTCTGTTGGGCAACATATAAAGTGCCGTTCCTAGTTGTTTACTTTTTAAGGTAGGTGGCGATAATTCCGACAGCATACCAATATTTTTCTCGTGTCTATTGCTTTGACCATAAAATGCCGAAGCATAATTGTCAAGAAATGAATTGTTATGAATTATTAAAGTATTTGATACCGAATTGTCTAAATCGTCATTTAATGTTTCTTCGCCCTGCGGTTCCTGTCTTATTCCACTACGGAGTGCATTTTTCTCTTCTACCGTTAAGTTTTCATTTGATGTTGATACATCTGTTTCGCTTCCGGATAAATTATATTGAAAATCTGAAATTAAAAATAGCAAATAAAATATTCAGAATAAATTTTTAAAATTCATAAACAAATTACAATTAGTAAAATTGTATAAACGTCTTAAAGCCTGACAAAAATATCAGAGCCAAATGATTACTGCATTAAATCAGGTTATGTCACTGCTACTAATCTGGCACAGAGGTGGCACTCAATACCTACATCTAGTGCCAAATTAATCTGTATTTAATAATTATCAGTATCAGTAATTAATAAAATTGTAATCTTAAGAATTTCTGAACTTAAGGAATTCAAAAATATCAAGAATTTCAGAAAGAAAATTGAAAATTGTCAAGTAGTTGAAATAAAACAACATTCAGACTCCCTATTACTCAACTTACAACTCATTAATTACTATTTTGTGACTGAACATTTTTATCAGAAGTTTTTAACATTAGTTACAAACAATTACTCTTTCAAAATAAATTAATAATGTGAAAAAATAAATATTTTATAAATACAGACGACTCAATGCATTCTGTGTTTCTATAAATCAAAGTAGTTTTGAAACCATATTTCACTAACTCAAAATTTAAAATCTGGAGACTTTATTTAATTTCTAATTGTGAGAGTTACTGCATTGTTAAAAAGTACAGATATCGTTCAAAGATATAGCCCACCAGTGGTGGCCACGTTTATAAACCACTGAACACTGTAGTTGGTCATGGATTCACACCTGCCACGTGGAGTTTTCCTGGTTACCAGTATCAAAAACGTAAAATATTTGAGTAGCCCAAGACATAGCCAAAGATTGCAGCACCACAGTCCTGGCAAAAATTTAAATTTGCCGACTGGAATTCTTTCGGATAATTGACTTTCGGATAATCGACGCTCTACTGTATGTACCTACACATCAATATATATTGACATGAATAATTGTTTATCCAAAATTAAAATGAAAAAAATGAAATATATAATAAAAGTTAAAAGATTATATTTTAAAAAAAGGTAAAAGTTAAAAAACATTAAAAACTTCTCAAAAAACAATCACGAGAAAATACCTTTCTCACTCTTTACCAATTTTCGTGGAGATTTAATTAAAAACTATACACCAATCCTTGAAAATCGGTAAAGACTGAAAAGAATATTTTCTCATAACTGTTTTTTCAGAAGCTTTTAAGGTTTTTTTTAACTTTTACCTTTTTTGAAACATAACCTTTTAACTTATAAAANATCTTGAAAATCTAGTTTTTGACTATTACAGAAAAAGGCTGTGCTATTTTTTGTTTAGAAAGAAATTGTGATAATTTTTATTTTCATAATGTTGTTAAATATGATCAAAGATAATGTACCACTTTGTAAATGCTTCAATGGTTATAATCAAATGATAGTCCTTGTTTGTCAAAATATTTGAAAATTATGTTTGTATTTATCGTATCTTATAGGATACAATTGTTAGGAAGAATACATTTAGCTCAAAAATATACGATGCTGTGCTTATTTGGAGAATTAAATTAACTATTAGATCATATAAGAAAATATGACTAAATAAATTGCTGTTCTTAATTTTCCTAAATAATAATTAACAATATATTTTAAACAAAATTAAAGCTTAAAATTTCATCTACAAACAGAATATAAATAATTTTCTTGCAACTAAAGAATAATATAAAATTATATTTAATGCTTAGTTCAGTTCATGATCATAAACTGAATTAGTTCACAATTAGTTCATGAAATGATCAAATGATAATTCTAAGAATATAACATTTTCATTTTTCAAATTTTATGAGAGAATAGAAAAATTACTTCTAGAATTTTTAAGTTAAAAACATTTTAAAATTTAACGGATTTCAACTTACTTTGGCACTGAGGCTGCATCTACTGCAATTTGGCGCATTGTACTTTCTTCCAAGTAACACTGTTCCCACTGAAATAAATATTTAAACAAAAAATTTCATTATATTTAATAATTTCATTTTTTTTTCAAATATTCTATAAAAATCATTCTCCAAAACCTTTGTCACTTCAGATTCTAAAAATACAATTTTCTCTTCATATTCTCTTATTGTTTTTCTTAATTCCTCTTCAGTTTGCAAATTCTTATTTCTGTCAGAACATGGCATTCCTTTCTGCAAAAAGCCAATAGATAAAAATTCAAACAATTATCATTTACTAAACTTATATAAAAAATAACATTTATGAAATTGATGATGCGACAATACCTTTTCTATTTTTAAATCTTCTATTTCCTTTTCGAGTTCTGATCTAATTTTCTTTTCCATCATTACTCTTTTCTCACTTGTCTGCTGGACATTTACTAATGCTTTTTGAAGCTGAGCAGCATGATCTATGTAAGACTGCTTCTTACGACACTATCGAGTTAATCAATTAAAATTCATCATATAAATATCCCAATATTAGAGATTTTAAAATAATTCTTTTATACTTGTATACTAATTTTCAGTATTTGTATTAATATTCTAAATACTGTGATAATAGTTTGCCACAATATTCTAATTTAAAGATCATGTTTCTTAAAAGAATTATCCAGCAATAAATGTATTAATAACAAATATTATAGATTGCCAAATATAGTTAATTTCCTTAATTTAATTGAATTTAACTATAGAAAATAGTTATTATTATGCTGACACACAAAACTGTTGGTATGCTTTCTTCAGTAAAATTCCTTATTATAAAAATTGTACATTTAAAAACAATTTTAATAAGGATCTTTACAGACACAAACACACTTTAGTTGCCATTCTTTAACTTATATTATTTATAAACAAAAAAACTTACATCTTCTTCCAATTTTACTACATTCAGCTGAGCATTGGTGAGAGCACTGTCCAAAATGTCAATATGATTTCTTTGTTCTTGTAATGTTACTCTTTGTGCTTGGAGTTCAATTTCTTGTCTTTCTTTTTCAGCTAATAATTCTTTATCTATAATTGTTAAACAATGCAAATAAAATATTTAATAAAATCATTAGCTGTATTTATTATTATAAAAAAAAGATTATATAATATGTTTTAAAAGAGTCTTATTATTTAATAGTTATTAGTTATCAATTGATTCACCTTTAGCCTTAATAACTGTGTAACTAGTCTTTGAGTCATGGTAATTTTTGCCGCAACTTGGAGACTAATGCCAAAAAAAAAAACTGATTCCGATTTCGATAACAAGTCAATGAAGTCAGTTTCACTGTTAAAATACCACATAGTTGTAGAGTAGCATGTGAATGCAAAATAACATGTTATTGCCTGTTAGAAATGCAATTTAGCAATATGCACTGCAAACTCTTACCACTCACATAGCATGAAATTAAATTTTGCAACAAAATTTGTGATATTATCTCACCTCTTTTTTGCTGATGCTCATCATACTTTATACTGATGCTCATCATACTTTATAATCTTTTTATAATTGGTATAAATTTTCTATTATAATTTATGAAATTCTGTATTTAAGTACTACATATATATATAATTTTTTTTCAGTTAGTGCCATTTCAGTGTTGTATTACATAGTTAAAACTATATAACTATAAATGCAGGAATCATAGTAACTTATGATAATGAACTATATATGCAGGAATCATAGTATTAACTTATGATAATGAGTGAATATGAAATCTTATGGCTCATTTAATGAGCCATAAGATTACTTAGAAAGCAGACTCTCTGCTTTTATGGCATTCTTTCTAGAAAGCCATAAAAGCAGAGAGTCTACTTTCTAAGTTTTCCTTAATAAAAAAGCAAATAAAGATTATAAACAATTACTTAAAACATTAAATTATTAATATAAATAATAATTGTTTTACTTACTTTGAGATANAGTTAAAAAATATATAAACAAAATTTTATATTTAAAGTTTATTATTATATTTACAAACTTTGAAAAACTCAATAAATTAAAAGAAAATTATTATCTACCGCACATTCTTATAAAAAGAATATGTTATAAAGTAAACTTAACAACATTCCTATCATACTTACAGTTTTTAACTCTGAAAAAATTATGATTTTAATCTAAAACTTCTATCAAAATTGCTAAATTCGCAGAATAAAATACCACTAATTCATCGAAAATCCATATAATACGATTGAAAATCTTATTTATAAGTTAATATATACACACGTTAAAGTGAAATACATCAAGATACACTACAAAAACATCGGTTATGATTTATTTATACAGAGTGATGTAAAAATATTTTATCTTACTTAAATATCTACAAATATTCCAAGATTAAATATCATACACACATAACCGAGATCATAAATTATTCGACAGATTTCGATATCAATGACGTCTACAAAACTAAATAATAAAATTTTTGCTACGTTCTCTTTGGATTTAATCACCGTTTATTCACTCGCGCAAACCGAAAAACTAAATTATTGCTTCTCAAAAATGCAATAATCGTTAACAGAAAACGAAAATTTTAAATAATTCGTACGCGATTATGATTTAATTAATTACTACATTAATTAATTATTAATGCGATTATTTAATTACGAACCAAACTTGAAATTTTATGTAATTAATTTAATGAATGATGCATAATTGATAAAAACGAGGCTAATGTATCATCCTTATCTTTTATGAAATTNCGATTTCGATAACAAGTCAATGAAGTCAGTTTCACTGTTAAAATACCACATAGTTGTAGAGTAGCATGTGAATGCAAAATAACATGTTATTGCCTGTTAGAAATGCAATTTAGCAATATGCACTGCAAACTCTTACCACTCACATAGCATGAAATTAAATTTTGCAACAAAATTTGTGATATTATCTCACCTCTTTTTTGCTGATGCTCATCATACTTTATACTGATGCTCATCATACTTTATAATCTTTTTATAATTGGTATAAATTTTCTATTATAATTTATGAAATTCTGTATTTAAGTACTACATATATATATAATTTTTTTTCAGTTAGTGCCATTTCAGTGTTGTATTACATAGTTAAAACTATATAACTATAAATGCAGGAATCATAGTAACTTATGATAATGAACTATATATGCAGGAATCATAGTATTAACTTATGATAATGAGTGAATATGAAATCTTATGGCTCATTTAATGAGCCATAAGATTACTTAGAAAGCAGACTCTCTGCTTTTATGGCATTCTTTCTAGAAAGCCATAAAAGCAGAGAGTCTACTTTCTAAGTTTTCCTTAATAAAAAAGCAAATAAAGATTATAAACAATTACTTAAAACATTAAATTATTAATATAAATAATAATTGTTTTACTTACTTTGAGATAATAACTGTGAGATTAAAATTTCTTTTTTTCCAATTTCTCTCTGTAAATCTGTACCTTCTGTGTTCAAAAACTGTTAAAAATGTCAATAAAATTTAATAAGTGTTATTATTATATATTCTTATAAAATAATAATAATAATAATAATAATAAAGCAAAGATTATATACTATATTTTATAACATATTAGACATATGGGAATATAAGACATGTTTCCATTTCAGCACAGAATTTTAAAGAAAAAAGTATTTAATGTGTTTAAAATAAGCAAACCAATGTCTTCAGCACTAGGCCTTATTAATTTTATCATTTCATTTGTTTAATTACATAATAATTTTGTACTTTATTACATTCAATTACTTACATATACAAACATCTCAAAAGTCAATATATTAGTAATACGCCAAACAATTAAATCTAGCTACTTCTCTGCAATTATTTTTAATTGATTTCTAAATAATTTGTCACTAGAAGTAGGTGTTAAGTGCCATCTCTTCTTCAATAATTATAATTAAATTAATATTTCTAAATAATTTAGAATATTCTGGAAGAAAAGAATAAGCCTGGAGCGAGACTCGAACCTGCAACTCCCACTTTCTGCATGGATATGTTGCCAGTTACGGTAAGCAGAAGTTGCAGATTCAAGTCCCACTTTGGACTGATTCTTTTCTTCCAAAATATTCTAAATTATTTATAAATATTAATTTAATTATAATTATTAAAGAAGAGATGGCACTTAACACCTGCCTCTAGTGACAAATTATTTAGAAATTAATTTAAAATGATCATGGAGAAGTAGCTAGATTTAATCTGGTAGTCATTTGGCATATTATTCAATTACTTAATTAAAACTAAATTCAAATTTCTCAATTTTAGAACACATCAAATCATACTTCTAATTATTAGAATACAATTTTTATATATTTTTTTCATTCCATTAGATGGAATTCGGTTATTCTGTACACGATGATGATTTAAATGTAACAAAAATGAATATTTGTTAAAAATATCTCTGACATAAAAGCATTATATTTCTTCTAAATAAATTTTTTTAAGATCTAAAATTAGATATATTTTAAAAATATTTTTAAACGAAATGTGACTGGAGGGTCAGCACTCTCCGGTCACAAACTATCAGCTATTATTGGTTGCAGGGAATTGTTCAGAGCCAAATACGTAGCAAGTAGTTAACTTGCAAATATGGATTCAACTCGCGTGCTGGCTTGATCTTTTCTTTAACAATCTTATAAATTAATTTAATTCCAATCTTAGTTGTACAAGATGGTGGCCTGACATTCCACCTTTAGATCAATTTTGTTTCGTGATCATTTATTAAATGAGTCTGAATGTAATCCAGTCCTAGTTGTTTGAGTAATTAGAAATTTGAATGGTTGTTTGAATACATCTATAAGTTCTTTTATAAAATTATCTACAATTATTACTAGGTATTACATCTACAATAAAACATAAATTACTGATAGCATAAAAATTTAATATGAAATTTCCTCAAAACAAAAAATAATTTTTTAAATGAATAGTTTGATAATGTATAACGAAAATAAACTTACTGTTCTCTTTGAAAAATGAGAAGTCGTTGCTTCAAGTTTTTCTAAAGGAGTAAATTATAAAAATAATAAATAAATTAAAAATAAAATAAATTTACATTATATCAGTTACTTTATTCATAAAATTTAATATTAAGATTAAAAAGAATAAAATTCCATAAGCCAGCACAAGACAAAAAAGGAAAATCTAGGAACTTTATTTTAACTTTATGCATGCATTTTAAATCGGGCCTAGAGAGTTAAATTCGGTCCTTGTTCCTCTTCAGTACAGTTTGTGTTATAATTTCCATTTTTTTTTCTCCTGACAATTTATTTTTTTCCTTTCTGATTAACAAATAATTATTTTTTCCTTTCCAAAACAGTAAATTAAAAAGATACAATTACCAGATTCTTCTTTCTTCACAGAATACAATAATCCTTAACAATAACGTGTTGCCAAAATAGCGCTAATAACTTTTAAATAATGCATGTTTAATATTATTTCCTGCTTATTATAATTTACTTCTACATCTCCAATATTGTTAATTTTAAAATACTGGATAGTTTATGGATTTCATGTATTAAAATTTTGAACTTATGCTATTGATCAGTTTGGTTCAAAAGCTTATAAGTACATACAGTTGTTCTCTTTTAATCATCGTAATATTAATGTCAAATGTATTAGATATGAAGATGAGATTGTAAAATCGTGAAAAGTGTTTAATCTAATTAAATATTTATGACTCCTTCAACAGTTTTGAGTTATTCTTCCTAATATGTACACATGAAGTCATTTGTTTCTGTTTCATGTTATCCTTTTTATTCTTAATACTAATTAATCAATTCATTTTAGTTCCATTGTAAATTCGACATTTTCCAGGCATTTAGTAACTTTTTAATAAAAAATAAACAGTAAAAAACTTACATTTTAGCTAATTTTAAACAATACTTAATAAACAGAAATCTTTTTATTTCATTTTACTGTTACTGCATTTCTTATAATTAAAAATAATGAATATTTAAATAGTTTTAATAATATAATAGTATCATGTGTTTCCTGTTATTTAAAAATTCAGCATATGATAATACAGTAGAGTGTCGATTATCCGAATCAATTGGGGACTGGGGTTGTTCGGAAAATCGATATTTCGGATAACCAATTATGTACGAAAAAATATATTAACCTATCCCATGTTGAAATTTTTCTCCGTTGGGTGTTGCTTCACGTTGAATTTTTGTCGATGTTAAGCCTAACGAAGACTATTGTATCGTTAAAAATTATTTTTTTATTTTGTACAAACAAAATAAATATATTGAAAAATATAAAAACAATAAAAAAATTATACTTCAGACGTTAATTTAGTATCAAAAACGTAAAATATTTGAGTAGCCCAAGACATAGCCAAAGATTGCAGCACCACAGTCCTGGCAAAAATTTAAATTTGCCGACTGGAATTCTTTCGGATAATTGACTTTCGGATAATCGACGCTCTACTGTATGTACCTACACATCAATATATATTGACATGAATAATTGTTTATCCAAAATTAAAATGAAAAAAATGAAATATATAATAAAAGTTAAAAGATTATATTTTAAAAAAAGGTAAAAGTTAAAAAACATTAAAAACTTCTCAAAAAACAATCACGAGAAAATACCTTTCTCACTCTTTACCAATTTTCGTGGAGATTTAATTAAAAACTATACACCAATCCTTGAAAATCGGTAAAGACTGAAAAGAATATTTTCTCATAACTGTTTTTTCAGAAGCTTTTAAGGTTTTTTTTAACTTTTACCTTTTTTGAAACATAACCTTTTAACTTATAAAATATACTGATTCCATTGTTTAAATTTTTATAAATATCTTTATATAAAAAATATTATAATAAATAGAAAAGAAACATCGTCTTAATGCGATGTAACGGCAAATAAAAGTTAATATCTTAATAGTCATTATTTAATAATGACAACAGTAATTCAACATTACTGTTTGTTACCATTAGTATTTACTCTTATTATGTAATTATTATTGAATCTTATTTTTGATTTTATTTCTAAGTCAGTTTATTTTATTTTGGTGATTAAAGAATCATTTTTAAAAGATTATACCTGTTTTTTTTTTTTACCAGTCTATGATTAAAAAAATTTTATAAAATCCATTGATCTTTGATACATAATGTTATTCTCTCATCAACAAGATAAAATTTTTTATTAAGTTTTAATAGTTTAGAATCTGTCCCTTCTTATGCAGAGTAATCAAATGAAAAGCTTATTCACTTATACACACAGTAGAAAGTTTAACACCAAAGGCCAGATATGGCAATGAGCTTGCAACGCTTATCACTGTACTGCTTAGAATCATAACAGCACTCTTAAATCTGAACTTTAATTTATTACAGATTTGAAGGATACATTTAAAACTAAATAAATATATAAGTTTTTGTTAACTCTTAACTCTTATTTTAAAAAGCCAAAAGTTGATTCTTTCGTAGCTGTACAAAGCCAATCTTATCAAGCTAAATGGTTTTAAAAGATTTCACAGGATTCATTTTCAAGATTTCAAGACATTTGAGTATACTTATATTTGAATATCTTGAAAAGACTGTGTTTATAACAACATTTTTATCTGTTTTTGTTACAGACACATCCCATAAACTGTCATTTGTTAAAAAATTTCTAAACAAAACTTTGTAGTAACACAAAATAATTCAGAATATTTTCAAATAAACTATCCTCTTAATTTTTGGTATCTTTTCTTCTCTAAATGTCTGGAAATGTCTTACACTACAGAACAGAGTATTTTTTGTTCCATAGATACTTCTAGCTACCAAATTTCTTGCCTCACTTCTTGCAAGTAGATTTTTTCGTTTGATCATCAAATATAAAGAAATCAAATTAATTTTTTTTTGCTTTCGAACACTTATCAATGAATAAAAATATAACATTTTAAAGATATTAAAAAATAATTACCTTTCAGTTCTTTATTATTATCGGAGAGACGTTGAATTTCAATTTCTAACCATGTGCGAACAGCTCTCTCTAATTTCTCTCTTTTCTCTGATGATCTAATTAAATCCTCGTGAGCACGATACACTTTTTGAATTTCCAATTCAAACTAAAAATACAGTTATAATTAGTAATTTATTTAAAAGTTATCTTCAGAAATATATTAATTGCAGTTATCACATTACACATTATGCTTAAAATATTTGAATTCAAATCAAAAAACTGAATACAGTTTCTTTAATTTTCTCTCTTAAAAGTGTCTAACAGAGTAATTTCAATTTTTATTTAATTTCTTAGCTGAAAAAAATTTTCATAATTAAGAAGCTGACATTTTAATATTACGCAAAATTTTTAAACAACTTCTAGGGAAATTACTTCCTATCTAATTATTAACTTAGTCTTATTATAGCCCGATAATTCGGCAGATTGTTTGGTTCTAATTTTTAAACAACTCCAATTATAAAGCTGAAATTAACTAAAAAGAATACGGTCAAAATTTATTAAATTAACTTACTTTTTCTAATTTGGCAACCTTTCGATAATACATGTCCAATTCATTTTTCAGAGAAGCATTTTCAGTAGATAGCAATTGGATAATATGATTTGTTTCATTATCTCCCTCTATTGCAGGTCTTCCATGAGTTTTTGGTCTAATAAAAATAATTTAAATGATTGGTTTAAATTTACTAATTCAATTAAAACAACAATTATATTACATGGGCACTAACCTTTTACTTAATTCAGAAATTCTGACACCTTTTCCTTCGGATTTAGCATTATTGTAATCGATATTCGTAAGATCCGGATGAGAATGCGATATTATCAATCCGTCCGCTTTTATTATATCTGCTTCTTCGGAAATTTTTCTAACATTGTGCAGTTGATTTAACTTGTTTTCGGTATATTTCTGGAAATCTGTCATTTGAAATTTGGTGGAGTCTAGAGACGAAGTTTTCGACGAATCCCCAGGAGATTGATGGTGATGTACTTCTTTGGCTAAATGCTTTAGTACCTCCGACTGGTCTAGGTAATGTTTTGGTATATCAGTTATTTCTTGTACCGAATGTTCTGGAAATTCAAATTTTGTATCCATAAAAATATTTTTTGATTGTGACGAAACATTAGAACTAGAGTTCTCATTTGGTGAATTTGAAATTCCAGTACTTAAATAGCTAGTTAAGTGAGATCTTCTAGGTATACTTTTTGGTGACGAAGGCACACTATTTCCTTTAGTTGAGTTATTTCTGTTGGGCAACATATAAAGTGCCGTTCCTAGTTGTTTACTTTTTAAGGTAGGTGGCGATAATTCCGACAGCATACCAATATTTTTCTCGTGTCTATTGCTTTGACCATAAAATGCCGAAGCATAATTGTCAAGAAATGAATTGTTATGAATTATTAAAGTATTTGATACCGAATTGTCTAAATCGTCATTTAATGTTTCTTCGCCCTGCGGTTCCTGTCTTATTCCACTACGGAGTGCATTTTTCTCTTCTACCGTTAAGTTTTCATTTGATGTTGATACATCTGTTTCGCTTCCGGATAAATTATATTGAAAATCTGAAATTAAAAATAGCAAATAAAATATTCAGAATAAATTTTTAAAATTCATAAACAAATTACAATTAGTAAAATTGTATAAACGTCTTAAAGCCTGACAAAAATATCAGAGCCAAATGATTACTGCATTAAATCAGGTTATGTCACTGCTACTAATCTGGCACAGAGGTGGCACTCAATACCTACATCTAGTGCCAAATTAATCTGTATTTAATAATTATCAGTATCAGTAATTAATAAAATTGTAATCTTAAGAATTTCTGAACTTAAGGAATTCAAAAATATCAAGAATTTCAGAAAGAAAATTGAAAATTGTCAAGTAGTTGAAATAAAACAACATTCAGACTCCTTATTACTCAACTTACAACTCATTAATTACTATTTTGTGACTGAACATTTTTATCAGAAGTTTTTAACATTAGTTACAAACAATTACTCTTTCAAAATAAATTAATAATGTGAAAAAATAAATATTTTATAAATACAGATGACTCAATGCATTCTGTGTTTCTATAAATCAAAGTAGTTTTGAAACCATATTTCACTAACTCAAAATTTAAAATCTGGAGACTTTATTTAATTTCTAATTGTGAGAGTTACTGCATTGTTAAAAAGTACAGATATCGTTCAAAGATATAGCCCACCAGTGGTGGCCACGTTTATAAACCACTGAACACTGTAGTTGGTCATGGATTCACACCTGCCACGTGGAGTTTTCCTGGTTACCTCAATGTTAGTAACACTGAAATAGGAGCCAGTTTCTCAAAAAATCCTCCAGGAGGAATCTCCACCTTGGCAGATTGCTTGCGTGTTGCATTGCCATAAACGAATAAACCATTCAAAGATATCAACTGTAAATTTAAGTGTCATTCTAACAGTCCCCATAAAATGTAAAGCTTAGCCATTGTTCTTAATTATTCTACACATTCAGTCATATATCTTAAACTCTTTATTTGTTACTACAGAATAAATAGGAAACAACTGTAGTATATTAGTAATGCTGGAATGCACATCATGGCCTTCTTTAAGCTAAATCTAAGCTAGCTTTCATCATTACGGGTGCTGAAGATTTGATGCCAGTTCTATAGCTGTTCCAAATGGGACTGTTACAGATAAAAAAAAACTTAGATCTATCTGTTTGATCCAAGAGCAAGCAACAATCAAAGGCAACAGTTACCAGAGTTCAAGTGCTTCCATAAAGGCTAAAACATAAAGATCAGCTAGGAAAGTAATAGCCAAATTTTTTGGGATTCTGGTGATATGTTACTCATAAATTTTCTTGAAGACCAAAGAACAATAATTGCAAGCTCTTATGAAAGTTTTCTTAAAACTGCATACAACTCTAAAACAAACAACCTGGAAAAAATTCATCAGTACATATTGTTCCATCACAATAACACACCCACTCATTCTGCACGATCTATTAGTACAGTATCTGCATGAACATCAAGGGGAGATTTTACCACACCTTCCCTTCCTATAGTCCAGATCTAGCACCATCAGATTTTTTATTTTTTATTCCCAAATTTAAAACAAAACATTAAAGGCATTTTTTGGCAGTCAATAGATTGAGTGAAACATTTTATAGTGAAGTGGCTCGAATCAAAGAGCACCGATTTCTACCAAGAAGGGTGCCGACACCACGAGGAAAATGTTTTATCTTTAATAGAACATATGTTTGGTAACCAAATTTTTTTGTCTTTTTATTTACATTTTCTGGAAACTTTTTGAATTCCCTGTCCCTGTATATTTCAAACCTGATGACTAATTGGTTGGTTGGTGCTTTATGGCGCAAGGGCCACATAGGCCAAACTGTACCATGACGGACTAATTGAGTTAGCTGAAAATGTTTGTTTGTTTTTGTGCCAGACTTAAAGGTTTTATGAGAGTGATTTGAACAGTTTTCAGCCTGACATAACTTATAAATGGCAATAGTATGTGAAATATTTTAATCTTATTTAAAATAAGGTCACTTCTGTTTTATGAATAGGTGCAAAATATCAGTTTTAATAAAAGTGTCAAATAGCTTTTTATAAACAGATCTTTAAACAAAGCCATCTCAGTGTACTTTTCGAAATGGATAAAAAGTGAACTTCACGCAGTGATAAAGCTTTTTGTTAAAAAAAAGAAATTAACATCAATGCAAATTTTTAATAGAAAGATTTGTTGGGTAATAGTACGCATTTGTTTACACCTGTAAAAAAACGGGCTGCAGATTTTAAACATGGGCAGAAAAGAATCTCAGAAGATGACCCCCCGCAGTGGATGTCTAAGAAGTGCAACGTCAGCTGAAATCATTGGTAAAGTGCATAATATTGTTTTGAGGAATTACCGATTGGAAGTGTCCAAAATTGCTAAGTTCATGGTCATTTCACATCATAGCAAACAAATTAGATATGAAAAAGCTATCTGCATGATGGGTGCTGCACTTAATCAAAAACACACTTGAATGCAAATTTCTCAAGACTATTTTAAAAAGATTATGGATTTTATTCATCAATTTGTGGCCAATAATAAAATTTGAATCTGCTATTATACCCCAGAAACAAAACAACTGTCAAAACAGTGAAGGTGTAGTGATTTGCCATCTCCAAAAACGGCAAAGTCAGTTATGCCTGCAGGAAAAGTAACGGCTTCAAGTTTTTGTTATGTTAAGGGAATATTGTTAACTGATATTATCCAAAGACTAAATAATAACGGGAGAATACTATGCTAACCTTTTGGATCAATGAACCAAAAAATTTATGAGAAAAGGCCTTGTTTATCAAACAAAAAAATCAGTTTTCATCAGGATAACTCCCATGCCCATAAAAACATCACTACGGCACAAATCACAGAACTAAGTACGATTTGCTATCCCATCCACCTTATTTGCCTGATCTGGATCCATCCAACTGTCATCTATTCCTTAACCTTAAAAAATTTTTTGATGGCAAGAGATTTTAATGAGTTGATGAAAGTGGCAGTAAATGGTCATTATGATGATCTTGAAGAATTGCACTTCTGGAATAAAGTCACTGAAACGTCGTCGGACAAAGTGCATAGAAGTTCAGAAATTAACTTACTTTTATTTTTTGATATAAGTTTAAAAAAAACCGCAAACTTTTCAAATAATCCACATATATTTAGAGTCAAAAACTAAATTTAAAACTTCAACTTACGATTGAATTTAAAATAAATAATTCAATATAACAGACTAAATATTAACTACAAAATTAAAACTTTTCTTCAAAACAAAAATTGATAAAACTATTTCCTAAAATAAAAACAAAATACGAATTAAAAACAAGTAGTTCAAAAACAGTGATTACCGTCATGACAACTGATACAAAACAGTGAATAATATATATAAATCATCTAACTGATTCGGAAAAATAAAGACAAAAAACTTATGAAACAAGCAAAAGTTTTAAGAAATCTTACTTTAACATACTTTAAAACCAAGTATTTACAAAGAATTTACTGTTTTAGACATGTATCACATCAATATTTCTAGACTTCCGAGAATTATCATTTTAAATCTGATGCAGTTTATGTTATTTTAAACATAATAAAAATTTTGAATTGGAATCACATAACTTCTGGCCAGATCGAAAGTTTGTATATAATTAACTGGGTCCTCCTACCTCTAAGCTTTCCCTATCCGGTCTCGATTTCATCTAATTAATTCCATTCTCAAGATTAACGAAGGACGGACAGATGGACAACAACAGCGGGAATTAATAGGTCTGCAATTTTAAAACTGCAGCCCGATAATAAATAAATAATATTTCTATACTTTCAGTAAAATAGACAAATGGAGCATGTTTTAATCAATATTATTTTAATAATAAAATAAAAACTTTCTAACCCTTTAATTCTAGATTAATATATGAACTTTAAACTTAATCGTATCAGTTACAAAGATCAAAAAGTATCTACATTTCTTTAAATAAAATTCTAAGTATTTATTTACGAAATAGGCATTTACTATTTCCTCATAAGATACACACAGATAGAAAAAAAAAACACATGTCTGTAAAATGTTTACAATTTTTTACATATTTCACATACGTATATATTAAATTTTTTTTAACTAAATAATAAATACTTTATTTTTGCAAAAATTATCATCAGTTTATCAGGAAAAAAAATTAAATTTTAAGTTTAATTCATTCATTCATTAACAAACTATTCCAAGTTTCAATCAAATAAGTAGAGAAATGATAAACAATCAATATGAAAAAATATATATGTGTGTGTGTGTGTATTTTTTCATTAAATTTAACTCCAATTCGTCTCTACTTGACTCCAACATCGGATTGATATTGCGACCAAATGACGTAAAAAGAGTAAAAGAAAATGGAGTTTGAACTGTTAAAAAGCTTGTTGGTAAACTCTGTTGATTTTACACTGATTTGAAAATATAAACTGCTTCCCTACTTTCATTGACTTAAGGTCTTAGCTCAGTCTTTGTCTTTCGGAATCGATGCAGAAACAGTAAAAATCAAATATCCAAAAGCCAGAGTTTGCCAGACGATATTTTGGTGAAATATGAAGTAATTTAGATTAAAGATAAGTGGTCCCACCACAATTGGATACTAATTACATTAATAACGTAAAATATTCCAAAAAAAAAAAAAAATCAACCAAAGTAGGAACTTGGTCTACAACTTCTGATCATCGTGCAGACGTATTACAAGTTATGTTAAATGAACAAATTTCCAAGTAACTGATCAATCTTTTCTTCCAGAATATTCTGAGAAATAACTTAAAAACAAATTAGACTGTAAAGTAATACTAATAAAATCCTCATTCAACTTACACATTGTACGGATTACACAGATACACTCGAAGAACTCAAATACCGCAAGCGGGTAGCTATTACTCAAGGATATCATAAGAACCTGATTTGGAA